CCTTGAACTTTAGCAACACCAGTCATCCTCAATTGCCAAACAGAAATTGTAAACCGCACTCTTAGAAATGTAATTCGCTATCTTTATGGTACAAAGCCAAAATAGTGGGATATTACCCTTGAGCAATCTGAATTTGCCTATAATATCATGGTCAACTGGTCTATAGGGAATACACCATTCCAGATTGTTTATTGTTATCCACCACGCCATGTTTTAGATTTGGTTCCCCCACCCAAATATATTATTGCAGAGACAATTCCAAAGATAAATCAGGAGCTGTAGCTGGCTTTCTCTGGTTTATTTTAGAACTTTCGATTTATGTTTTAATATCAGAATTTATTTACTTTCATGATCCTAGTATTTTCTTATTACAGTTATTTCTTTTCTAAACAGTTTATTTCTAGTCGAACTAGGATATGCAGCTTATATAAAGGCTATTTCTCTTCATTGTAAGGGACTTTAAATTGAATAACAAATTTGCTCCTTGAGAATATTATTCTCTAAACTCGTGGAGTCGAGTGTATTGTTCTATTGTTCATGAATTTGAACGATTATTTTCAAGAATTAGACGGTGTCCTGCTTCTTCAGAAGCTTTACGCTATGCCATTTTGGTGATTCCAATCCTTGCTGGTAGACCCAATGAAGTATAGAGGACTTTTACTCTCTCTTTTTTTGTTGACAAGACCGTTGGTCTGTTTTCTTAAACCTAACAATTACGTTTAAATGAAGAATGAGAGGTCACTTTATTCATATTTATATTGTTCTTCCATAAAACATTAAGTAACTTTTGTGTCTAATCCAATGTATCTTCATGTAATTTTCTTAAATGTACATGATTGAGCAGAGGGGGTGCCTCTTAATTATTACTTAAAAAATATGATTTAATATTGTTTGAGGTGCTAGCTTATTTAAAAATATCCTTAATAGTCAAGAAAATGATAAAAAAACAAATTAGAAAAAATGAAAGAATGTCATATGTGTGTGTGTGTCTATATATATATATATATATATATATATGCACATATGTACAGTTACTCCTACAGCATATGGCAAGTTCTACGAATTTCGATCATGGCATTTCATGATCGAATCCGAATACAAATAAAACGTATTGTGAATACAAATTCTCTACGACCGACCCCATGTTCCCATGCAGGTTAACAACAATCGTGGAAGGATAAGGAAGAATATATATATGTGAATTGATCTTTTTGCCCAAGTTTGCGTAGTGGTGTGGGACAAAGAACGTGGAGGTTAAATCTTTATGAGTCGATGCCTATATTCCCCCAATAGCATTATCCTACCCAGTCACATGGGAACTGTTCTTGAGCAAATTCTTTTCAAGAAACTAATAAAGGGACAAGAATGATAATTTATTCCAAATTTGATAGATATCGACCTGAATTGACTTCAAATATGCATAACATTTATTATTTTACCATTATGTATTATTTATATTTAATAATAAATAGTTATCGATATTGATATTTATATAAATACCTTAAATTCTAGTTCCAAGTTGATAAAATGCAGAAATTCGCATTCAATTATTAAATAATTGATTTCTTCCAACTTGTTTCCAAGAATCCATGAGACTGATCATATCTTCTCTTGGAGAATCTGATCCCTTATAACTAACTTTTCCTTTTCAACTTTTCCTTTTCAATTTATCTTACCCATGATTTGTTGTATTTATTTCGTTATCATGACAATCAATGTGACTACCTCTCCATCTCTTCCTAACAAAAATCTAGCTACATTAATTATAAGGAGTTGGTTAAATTTTGATTCTTTTGCTTAAAATAAAAAAAATTATATTTTCAAATTATTTTTATAAACTAATATTAAAAATAACTTTTAAAAAATAATAATAAAAAAAAAAATTATTTTAATATATTTCTAAATAAAAAAATAGCTGTTAACTCTACTACAATTTTCCTTGTATCTTCCCTGCACTAATCCAAAAGACTGAAGGAATAGTCAAGACAGGATTTTTTAGTCAAAAAATTCTTTGACAAAGATGAAGTGACTACTGACCGTATCGTAGTTCGCAAGTTTGAGAAACTATATGTTTAACCACCGGGTATCGAGCTTTTATTCTCTACTTTCTGTTCCTAAAGTGAATGCTCTGTCTGAATTTTTAAATTTGTTATAGTTTTTGCTGGGCAAAATCTGGTGATGGTGTCTAAAACTTGTAGAAGACCCAGTTGCATAGGGCAAAGCCCAAACAGATAGGAAATGCCAACCCGTGCATTTGTAGGTTTTTTAATCCATGAAATGCAATACAATAAGCAAAAAAAAAAAAAAAACAAAGAGAGAGAGAGAGAGAGAATTAAAGAAAGAAAGAAAGGTTCCGGACACAATATTTTTTCATGCAAATCAACTTTTACATCTATATTTATTTTATGTACTATCCTATGTCAACATGGAATCTATAATAATCTTGAAGAAAATAGTTTAATTAGTAAAATTTTAATTTTTTTTTTAAATTATCAGTTTAAGTGTGATAAATTTTAAAATTATTAAAAATTTATATAATTATTAAATTTAAAATTTCAAGAAATTAATTAAAATATATATAAACTAATCCGAAAACATTCAAAAAAAAAAAATCCATTGCACAAGAAGTAATAACTAACTAACTATATATGTGTGTGTGTGGCGAGTACTGTAGCACTTTGTAGTTATCGCAGCTTAAAGTTTTTGCCAAAACATACGATTTTGAAACAGGCGCAGGTGCCGCTGTAAATCCACATGCAGTTCGGGCCAAGAAGTATATATATTCTTTTACCATCGCCAACCAAGAACTCTGGGTACCCAAGAAACGCATATGCAACAGCAGAGAAAACAGAGAAAAGAATAAGAGGAACTTTGTTTTTTTTAGCAATTTCAACCATCCAATAAGGCATCACGTCAATGATTATCCAGTCTGGAAGTTGATCGACGATGAAGCATCAAATTATTTGTTGGAGGCTACTAAATGTTAAAGTTATAATGCAGGATCCAATACATGTGGCGAATATCATGTGGTTTTGTTTAGGCAACAGTCATTATTTTTATCCTTGATGTGTGTTGGATTTCCGTGGAGTTGTGTTTACGATTGTAGACAACAAGACAGAGAGAAGTAAAGCTGAAATCACTCCATCATTGTTATTAATGTTTTTAATAATTTCTGAATTGACAACAATAAAGTTTTTTTCTTATTGATTTCTGAATCAGTTGCAGAATAATTTTTTACTATCAATTTCTAAATCATTAACAATATAATAAAACATAAAAAAAAAAATTAATGTTTCATCAGCCTATTATAAAGGTAAATGGAAATAGAAATCAACCCAAAAATAACTAAATAACTTAAAAGGAAGATAAGGACAGCTTTAGTCCAACTTCCAAACATCCTTTTGCATTTAAGAGGGGTACAGTGAAGGAAGAAAAGAGAAAGGGACACAAATGAGCTGCATGCTCTTGCCTTCTTTCTCTTCCCAAAAAATCTACCTGGAACAGTTGCATACCCAACTGCATGCACCACCTTTGAATGCTGAAAAAAAAGGGTGATTAAAAGAAAAATAGTGTTGGCTGAAACTATGGAAGGAAAAGGAGACCCTTTCCCTATAACTGGATAGCAGTTGTGAATGCAACAACAACCACCCTCTCCAAGAAAAAGACCCACCTACACTAGTTGCATGTCCCCTACCTTAACTGTTTGAAGAAGAAGAAAGCTAGGGAGTTATGTTGATGACTGAAACCATGAGAGGAGAGGGAGTGTGACAGACCCGCTATACAACAGAGATGGAAGAAAATGAAAAACCAAAACCTACTTTAAAGTTGTAAAAAACATGATATAAGAAAGATGTATTCTTTCTTAGCTAGTTGCTTCTGATTAGGATTTAAAAATGCATTTTTATCAAGGTTTTATATCATCATTTTACACTTAAAGTATCAATAACTCCTTAACTAAAGCATGTTTTATAAAGACAAGTCTGATAATATAAGATACCTTTAATTTATGGTAAATGCTCATTTTAAATGCAAGTATTCTTACATTTCAAAGGATTGATTGTTGTGATTAATTATCAACCCCAAGCATTCAGAAACCATTATGCATAACTGTATTTTTAAAATAATTTAATATACACTCAATTGAAATTCCAGTGGAGTTTTTCTCATACTTAAGCTATACAAATTTATTAACATCTTCATCGATATCTTAATCCAATACTACAAAAATAATTTACTAATCGGTACAATATTGCAAGATATCTGATATTTTATTTAATACCAAATACAATCAACTTCATACAAAATGATTATTTACTATTATCTCTTTTATATACTTACCTTATCAATTACTAAACAATTAATTTCTTATTTTATCCTTAACTTTACAAATCAATATATTTAGCACAAACTAAGGACATATTAATGTCCTTTCTAGTCCAAATCGGATATTTGTTCAATTACTAAAGTATTGGTTTCTTCAATTACATATTAATCAAAGTACTAATTCCATTAACCAAAACATTAGTTTCTCTAATAGCCTATTAATTAAAGTACTTGCTCCCATTAACTACGACACTAGTTTCTGAATTACTCATTACCTAGGGCACCGGTTTCTCCATTTACCCATTAACCAGGGCACTAGTTTCTTCAATTATCTAATAACCAAGGCATCAATTTCTTCATTGGCCCATTAAACAGGGCACTAGTTTCATTAACCAGGGCACTAGTTTCCTTAATTACCCATTAACCAGGGCATTGGTTTCTCCATTTGCTGATTAACCAAGGCATTAGTCCCATTAACTAGAGCACTAGTTTCTCCAATTACCCATTAACTAGGGCATCGATCCAATTAACCATAGAACTAGTTTCCACATAATATTTATTTATATGTGGGCTATCTCACACATTAGTTATTTTGAAGTTCCCATCATATATATATAATCGATATCATATCATACATCGAATCTCACTAATGCGGTCGATAATAATTCTTACATGGCAATTCTATCGTTGTAGTCAAAAGTAATATATACAAGTTTTTCCTGTTGTTATAGTAAATCACATCTCATAATATACTACCCATTATTACCTATGCAGTTAACTATAACTTTTTAATTTTCTTAATAATAATATCACATCAATGTTCATATGTAGAATGACATTATAAAAAAAATTACAATATCTTAACATTCATAAAATTTTCTAAATTTCATATGTAGAATGACATTATAAAAAAATTACAATATCACATTCATAAAATTTTCTAAATAGATTAGGTGTCAGGCATCCACCTGTAGTTTGTTCACTGAATGCACAGCCTTAATGATGTCCTCTCACAGACAACTTTCTTGTATTAACAAGAATTGCTAAATCACTTATACAATTATTTCTTTATGAAATTATTTAAATTTATTTCACCATCATGAAATTAAATTTAAACTTTACATTCATAAATCACTAATAAACTACTTCCAATCCATATATGATTAGTACTTAAAAATGCATTTTTATCAAGGTTTTATATCATCATTTTGCACTTGAAGTATCAATATCTCCTTAACTAAAGCATGTTTTATAATAACAAGTCTAATACCATAAGATACCTTTAATTTATAGTAATATTCATCTTAAATGCAGGCCTATTACATAAATAAAAAGATTGATTGATGAATTGAAGTATTAAAATTTAAAGGACAAAGAAAAGGCCAAACTTAGAAAAGAGATGTTGGTTTAGTCCAAACTGGAACACTGCTCGGTAATTAGATCATAACTGGAGTTATAGAATTTGGATTTAGGTCTATTTTATATGGATGGAAAGCTAAGATATAGAACTAAAACTTTCATGGGAAGGCAAGACTCAATTCTGCTATTTGGAAGTCCAAATCTTAGCAACAACATAGAATCCCGAATCTATCTTGTAGCCTAGACACTGTTCAATGTTTAACCTATATCTCGAGTTCTAGAAGTCTAAATGACTTATATTTTTTTTCTGGATAGCTGAATAATTTTCTAGAATTTTCATGAAAAAGGTTGATTCAAATTCTGACGTTATCAATTACTTTTTTGGTAGACAAGATGATAAAGATTGTCATTAAGTTAAGATAAGCTCACCCATTCAACAATTAGTCATCAAATCAATAATTCCTAATTTTGGCCTATAAAAGAAGGTATTTGCTATGCATTTAGACATCTTGGTTTTCAGATCAAGATCATGCTCTT